GGGGGGGCGGGTGCCAGTGCCCATCGCCCCCCTCGTGGCAGGGCTGTTCGGTGTCGTGTCGGGGTGCCCGGGGGCTCTGCACCTCGGCTCCTGGAGGGCCCCGGCACCTGAGCTCCGTTTCCTGCTCGTTGAGAAGTTTCCTTGGGGAGTCTGAAGGCTTCTCTGGGTGGGAGAGGGCAGCACCGAGCTCTCTGGCCTCCCGGGTCCGGGCGCCCTGGCTTGCCCCTTCCCAGAGGCAGGGTCAGGGGTTATCTGTGGGTGGGCAGCTGGCGCCCGGCCCTCCCCCAGCATCTGCTGAAGTCATCAAGGGGCTGCCCCTTTCCCAGCCGCGCGGTGTCCCCCGGCGCCCAGCTCGGGTTTCGACCTCGGAGGCGCCCGGTCTGTGCAGACCCCAGGCTGAAAGGCTTCCCGAGTCGAAGGAGGGGCAGTGTGCGAGGACAGCGGGGAGGGACAAGGGGCACCCCTCAGCAGAGGCCTGAGCTGCTGGACGTGGCGGCGGGGGTGCGGGTGGAGGGGGGGTCAGCGCTTTCTTTCTCTTTATTTTTAACTTGGTGCGTCACAGTAGTGCGCACTGGAGGGGCTCGGGGCTGCGTGACTGTTCCTGCGCCCAGCGTGACAACGTGACCTGGCAGCGTCCCTCCCCAGCAGCCCCCTCCCCCGGCCCTCCCCCCAGGCCCTCTCCTCCCTGATCTCCCTTGGTTCCAGGAGACCCACCCCCACTTTCCTCCCCTTTTCCTCTCCAGGTTCCGCATACAGGAGAGGTCCCGTGTGCCGACCTTCCTGTCTGGCCGACTTTGCAAACACGACAGTCGCCAGTTCCATCCATTTCCCTGCAGATGCCGCGATTTCATTCTCCTTATGGCTGAGGACACGCCACTGTGTATGACCCCGTTCTCTCTGTCCACTCACCCAGTGAGGACACCTCGGCTGGGGCCGCAGCTCGGCTACTGCCCTCTGTGCTGCTGGGACCCAGGTGGGCTGTCTCCCTGTCCCACGTAGGATGTCCTTGATCCTTCAGCGTGAACACTAAGGCGTGTGCCCCCGGGTCCTGGGGTGGGTCTCCACACTGATGTCCGTGGTGGCTGTGCTCACTGACAGTCCACCCACCGTGTCCAGTGCTCCTGCCCCCCGCTGCCCCCCAGCATTCAGAGTTACTCGTGTCCTTGGTGCAGCCTCTGCCTGGAGTAAGATGAAATCTCAGTGTGGTTTTGATTTGCATTTCTCCTTTTGAGAAGCCTTTTAATTCGTTTGCCCATATATTAATCGGGGTCATCTGCTTTTTTGGTGTGAAGTTTTCTGAGTTCTTTATATATTCCAGACACTGCCTGTGTCTAGAAGTGGAGTGGTGACCCCACGTTTCCTTCTAGGAGTTGCCCAGCTTCTCATCTATTTGAGTTGATTCTCGTGCCGGGTGAGAGGTGAGGGTCCAGGCTGCGTCACCTGCCTGTGGACAACCAGTTGTCCCGTGTGTTCCAAAGGCTGCCTTTTGTGTGTGGCTCCTTCGTCAGGGGTCAGATGACGGTGGTGTGTGGGCTTGTCCCTGGGCCTCCTGTCCTGTACCCGTGGCCCGTGTGTCTGTTTTTATGCTGGTACCATGTACTTTTGTTATCAACGCAGGGATTTTTAAAATGTTGAGTAAAAGATGGGACCACTCTTCTTAGTGCTGATTGTGATGGTTTCCATCATTACCGGCTCATATCTGAAGACGGAATAGGAACATGGGGTGAGGATTAGGGTGGACAATGCTGCACCCTCCACCTGGGTTATGGAAGACTCCTTGGGT